TTTACTGGAAAAGTGGAGAATAATAATAGTAACAATAATAATAATAATGATAACTAACATTATTTAGTGTTTTACATATTTCTTTTGCTACAACAACACTGATAGGTGCTGTTATTGTCTCTATGGAAAACTGAGGATGAGAGAGGCTAAGTGACTTTTCTAGAATCACACAACTAGTAAGTGTTTGAAGCTAGATTTGAATTCTTGACTAAGTCCTGTCTACTGCATTATTAGATTTGTTGTCAGATCAAATTGCTATGTGGATTGGTTTTGCCCATCTTTTCTTGTTTCAAGGAAAGGTTCACTGTGGGAGGAAGGTTTTATATATAGAAATGCCTAATTTAAAACAAAAGATATCAACAAACCTTTTAAAATTAAAACCATTTATGAATATTAAAATAGAGTCCTCTGCAGTCAATGTTGACTTATTTGTTGCAGTTATTTTTATGGTGGTCCTTTTACAAATACACCTCATGAGCGCTATAATATGAGATAACCAAATGTCACATGAAATGATTTTTTTTGTTGCCTTTGGACTCAGAATAAAATTAATTTCACCATCTCCCTTATTTGTCTCTCGTAAGAGAATTTGTGAACCATCCTTTCATTTAGCTACAATTTTCCTTTGTTTTCTAGTTTCCATTGTAATGAGAATATCAATATTGATAGTTTTATTCTTCCTGTATTATGTCCTTTTGGTCATTAGATAAAAATCACTTTGACTAACAAGAGCTATGTTGTTTTTTTAAAAAAAAGTTTTTTTAAATTACTTTTGTCTTTATATCTAGCATTTCCCAATCCCCTTTCCAGATTGAACCCTCTTTCATGACAAAGAAAAACAAACAAAAATGTCCAGTACATAAAGTGTGTAACTAGGTTTGGAGTCAGGAAGTTCTGGGTTCTAATACTGTCTTAGACACTTATGAGCTATGTGACTTTGGGCAAATCACTTAACCTCTCTAGATTTCAGTTTCCTCATTTGTAAGATCAGCAGGTTGGATATAACTTGATGGCCTCCAAAGTCCCTTCCAGTTCTAGATACATGATCCTATGTCCTCTCGGCCATGAAGGAGGAGAGTTTGATTCATTAGCTCGTCTCTAGAACTTTTGTTGTTGTTTCTTCTGTTACTTAGAGTTCAACTTTTAGTAATCTCATTTATATTGTTGTCAATATACTGTAGAGGCAGCTAGGTCCCTCAGTGGATAGAGTGCTTGGCCTGGAGTCAGGAAGACCTGAATTCAAATTTGGCCTCAGACACTAGCTGTGTGACCCTGGGTAAAGTCACTTAACCTTTGTTTGCCTTAATCCACTGGAGAAGGAAATGGCAAACCACTCCAGTATCTTTGCCAATAAAACCCCTTGTAATAGTATTGGCGTATTATAGTACATGGGGTCACAAAGAGTTGGACACGACTGAATGACTGAACAGGTCATTGTGTATGTTGTTCTTTTGGTTCTACTTATTTTGTTCTGTACCAGTTAATACAAATCATGCCTTGTTTCTCTGTATTCCTCATCATTATCATTTATTACTGCACAGTGATGTTTGATAATATTCATGAGCCATAGTTTTTCCAGGCATTCCCCAACTGATGGGCACCCACTTTGTTTTCAGTTTTTTGTTATGATAAAGAGTGCTACTGGGAATTTTTTGGCTTATTTTTGGTAAGACTTTTGTTTTTGTTTTTGACTGGGGATTGTGTGCCTAATAGTGAAATTGCTGGGTCAAAGGGTATAGACAGTTTAGTTACTTTTCTTGTATAATTCCAAAATGAAATATAGAACAATTGGATTCTACTTCATTAGTGCATTAGTGTGCTTGTCTTCCCACTGCCTCTCCAGCATTGACTCTTACATCTTTTTTCATGGTTTTCCATTTGCAAGTAAAGGTGAACCTGAGTATTTTAATTTTCATTTACCTTTTAGTGACTTGGAGCATGTGTTCATGTGATCATTTATAGTTTGCGATTCTTTTGAAAACCATCCATAGCCTTTAGCCACTTATCTTTTGGGGAATGGCTCTTGGTGATGTATATTCTTGTCAATTCCCTGTATATTTTATACATGAGACTTTTATTGGTGATACTCGATGCAGATATTGTTCGTGTTACCATTTCTCCCCCTTTTTTTTAAAGGCAATTGGGGTTAAGACTTGCCCAGGGTCACACAGCTAGTAAGTGTCTGAGGCCAGATTTTTTTTTTGGGAGGGCTAGGCAGTGGGATTAAGTGACTTGCCCAGGGTCACACAGCTAATAAGTGTCAAGTATCTGAGGTCAGATTTGAACTCGGGTCCTCCTGACTCTAGGACTGGTGCTCTATCTACTGCGCCACCTAGCTGCCCGTACCATTTCTCTTCTAATTCTCTCTTTATTGATTTTATTTGTGCAAAAGCTTCAAAATTTTATCCAAGTCACATAAGTTGCGAGAAGGTACATAAGGAGCAATAAGGAGGCCAATATAACTGGATCACAGAGTATATGTGGTGGGTAATAAGGTAGCCTAGAAAGGTAGTAAGTGTCCAGGTTATGAAGGGCTTGTAAATTCAGAGGGCTGGGAGCCACTGGAGCTGATTAAATAGGGAGAGGGACATGATCAGACATACGCTTTAGGATTTTCATTTTGATAACTAAGTGGAAGATGGATTTGAGTGTGGAGAGACTCAAGGCAGGGAAACCAACCAGCAGGCCCTGCTATGAAGTGATGAGGTCCTGCATCAGTCTATTTGCCTTGTCAGAGGAGAGAAGGGGACATGTATGACAAGTGACCAGGATGGAAATGACAGTACTTGATACTTGATTGAATATGTGGGGTGAATGTGAGTGAGGAGTCAAGGATGACACCTAGCTTGCCAGCCTGGGTGATTGGGCGATTGGTTATAACCTTTAGAAAGAGGAGAGAGGTTGAGAGGAAAGATAATGAGTTCAGTTTTGGACATGATGAATTTATGATGGCCATAGGACATCCAGTTTGAGATGTCTAATTGGCAGTTGGAGACTGGAGGTTGGGAGAGAGGTTAGAACTGGACAAGTAGATCTGTGAGTCATTTCCATAGAGATGAAAACTGTAAACATGGGAGTTGATGAGTTTTCTAAGTGAAATAGTATAAAGGAAAAAGAATAGGGTAGGCTTGGGGGACCCATATGGTTAATAAGTATGAACTGGATAAAGATCCAGTCAGATAGCAATGTCACAAAAACATAGAGAGAAAAGAGTATCAAAGAGGAGAAGGTGATCAATAGTGTCAAAGGCTGCAGTGAGGTGAAGCAGGAGGATTGAGGAAAAGATTATTAGATTTGGCAATTAATAGAGCATTAGTGTTTTTGGAGAGAATAGTTTTGGTTTAATGATGAAGTTGGAAGCAGATAGCAAAGAATCTTAGTTTGCTAATATTCAAAGTGAGGAATTTGGACTTTGGGTAGCTAGATGGTGCAGTGGATACAGTGCCAAATCTAGAGTCAGAAGACTTATCTTGGTAGGTTCAAATCTGGCCTCAGATACTTAGCTGTGTGACCCTGGGCAAGTCACTTAACCCATTTTGCCTCAGTTTCCTCACCTGTCAAATGAGCTGGAGAAGGAAATGGCAAACCCACTCCAGTATCTCTGCCAGGAAAACCCCAAATGGGGTCACGGAGAGTCGAATATAACGAAAAACGACTGGAAAATAACAACAAAATTTGGACTATAACATCTCTGAACTCCTAGTTAAAAATCTTGGAATCAAGTCAGTTTTTCCTATCTCTAGCATCTCTTGTGACCAGGGAATTTTTAGGTGACTCCACAATGAAAATCTCTTGCTATTTTTTTTTCAATTCATGGAACACTGTGTGATGAGTACTATTAATGCCTGTTAAATCTGACACAGGTCATACAACTTTGCAGTGATACAGATGTGCTGTAAGAACTGTTGATTAGCAGGAACTATCATAGTTCGCATTAGGAACTGTGACTTAATTGTATTTGTTTTGTTGGGGCAGTCTGGCTTCCTAGAATCAACCATAAAAGCCTGTCTTCTAACAGCTTAGTAACATGTTTCTCTAATTTTTTTTCCTAATGGGAGTCTTCGAAGGAAATTAGTAGATAGTCTTTTCACTGAAATTACTTTAAGACAGGGTAAAGTTTTGTAGCTACCCAGATAATGAGAATAGGCTTTAAAAAATTAAAAACAGAGAAACTTGCTAGAAAAAATATGTGGACAGCCTTTCCTTTAAGTTCTTATTGAGAAGACTGCTTTAAAAATAATACAAATAATCTCTGAGTTCTTTTCCATTATTTTGTTTTTTTTCTCCATAATAAGCATATTCATCAGGCAGAGAACTGAGTGCCAGTATTGTTGTCGTTGTCACCCATGGGGGAGTATGCTGAATTTTCTAACAAGTAGTTCATGTTCTTGAATAGTTGGGAATCTTTATATTAGCAATTGAGACTTATACTTAGATTTTTAAATTCAAGACATTGTAAATGCATGTTTACGTTTGTATCAGTAGTCATATGCCAACACTTGATATATGCATTATATATATATGTTCATACATATGAAGTTAAAGATAAGATTTTGACATTGTCTTAGAAGCAAGGAATAATACCTTAAAAATTGTTAATGTGTCTTGATCTACTAGTTTCTCTGCGTCAATTAGTGCTATTAATGCTATCAATATTCATATGTAGTAGACTTATTAAGGTATCTTTTTTCATTTTTTAGGAGGGCACTATTTGTTTGATACAGGATGTGTTTGGTAGCTCTTTTTAGGTGATTGTCATAAAACATAAACAGCAGTAGGTTGTTCCAATGGCTATGATTATATAAAGATTTTAGAATTATGTGGGAGAGATTGTGTTCTTTTTCCAAACAAGTATGAAAATGTAATATCCTTTAGTGGGAGCACTGTATGTTCTTTTGCTTGGATATTTGTTCTGTAATTCTAATAAAATAATGACTAAACTTGTCTGGGAAAATGCTATGTATGCTATACCTATTGATACTTTGATCCTTGATTTCTAGGCAGAGATAACGAGCAGTCTAGTCCAGGCCTTCTTAAACTTTTTCCACTTGCAACCCCTTCAGTGCTTCTGAAATTGTGGGTTGCAACCCACAGTTTAAGAAGTGCTGTAGGAGACTACAAACTCCATGAAGGTGGGTACATTTTAGGCATTTAAATATTTGTTGAATTAAATATTGATTTCTAATTTCTTAAGGATTGCCACTGCCCAAAATTTTCTCTCATATTTGGCTTCCAAGATTCTGTGCATTTTACTAGATTAGTCCTCGAACAATCAGCTAGCTCATAATTTTGCATCTTGATCCAGCATACCAGTACTTAGGTACACTGACATAATGCTGCTATAACAAAGAAAATCCCTTCAATTTTGTCCAGAACTTCTTCTTCAAATATCCCCATTCTTAATAGTATCTTCATTCTTTCCATTGTCACTGGCTCCTCCCCTTCTGCCTTCCATCATACATAGGTTTCTCCTGTGTTGAAAAAATTTTATTTGATCCTGTTGTCATCTCTAACTACTACCCAATTGCTCTTCTCTTTAGTGAAAAGAGTACACTCATCTTTGATTCAGAAGACCTGGAGTTGAGTCTCAAGCTTTATCACTTACTACCTGTGTGACCTCAGGTGAATGACTTCTCTCTAATTTTCAGTTTTCTTGTCCATTCAATGAGGACATTAATATTTACATTACATACCTCATATAGCTATTGTGAAAAGAAGACTTTTCAGGCTCTAAAATTCTATGTAAATTCTAGCCATTTACCAACAAATTTTTCTAAGTGCCAAGGCTATTGCCTCTATTTCCCCATCACCCACTTTGTCCTTCACCTTATTTCATTACACTCATATAACATCATTTATTTACCCATTCTTCAATAGGATACCCCATAATTTCCAGTTTTTTTCTATTACAAAAGACCTGTTATAAATATTTTTATGCATATAGATGTGTTTTCTCTTTTTTTGTTGGCTTTGGCATATAAGCATAGTAGTGATATCACTGGGTAAAAGGGAATGCACAGTTTAGTGACTTTTGGTCATAATTCCAAATTGTTTTCTAGACTAACTGGATAAATTCACAACCCCTTCAACAGTGCTTGTTTTCCTGTAGATTGTCCAATAACTGTCATTTTCCTTTTCCTTTTTTTGGGGGGGGGAGATGGGGGTGTCATCTTTGCCATTGAATATGAAGTGAAACCTCAGAATTCTTTAATTTGTATTTCTCTAATTATTAATGATTTAGAGCATTTTTCTTATGGTTGTTGAAGCTCAGATTTCTTCCTTTGAAAATCTGCTATTCATATTCTCTGACCACTAGTCTATTGGAGAATGTTCTTATATGTTTATAAATCAATTTCTTATATATCTTGGATATAAGGTGTTTCTTTTTTTATTAATAAATTTATTTATTTTTAGTTTTCAACATTTACTTCCACAAGATTTTGAGTTCCAAATTCTCTCCATCTCACCCCTCCCCCCACTCCAAGATGGTATGCATTCTGAATACCCCTTCCCCTAGTCTGCTTTCCCTTCTATCTCTCCCCCCGTCTCTTATCCCCTTCCCCTTCCATTTTCCTATAGGGCAGGATAGATTTCTGTACCCCATTTCCTGTATTTCTTATTTCCCAGTTGCATGTGAAAAAAATTTTTTTAAACATGTTTTTAAAACTTTGGGTTCCAAATTTTCTCCCTCCCTCCCCACCCACCCTCATTGAAAAGGCAAGCAACTCAATATAGGCTATACATGTGCAGTTATGCAAAACACTTCCACAGTAGACATGCTGTGAAAAACTAACTCTATTTCCCTTAATCCTATGCCGCCCCCCATTTATTCTATTCTTTCTTTTGTCCCTGTCCCTCCTCAGAAGTATTTGCTTCTGATTACCCCCTTTCCCAATCTGCCCTCCTCTCTATCATCCCCCTACTCTCTTGTCCCCTTTCCTCCCTATTTTCCTGTAGGGGAAGACAGATTTCCACACCCAATTGAGTGTGTATGTTATTCCCTCCTTAAGTCAAATCCTATGAGAGTAAGATTCACTCATTCCCTCTCACCTTCCCCTATTTCCCCTCCACTGTAAGAGCCTTTTCTTTTCTGATTTTTTTTTTTGTGAGATAATTTACCCCATTCTACCTCTCCCTTTCTCCTTCTCCTAGTATAATCCTATCTCACCCCTTAATTTTATTCTCCAGATATGACCCCTTCATCTTCAACTCACCCTATGCCCTCTATCTATTTATCTATCTATCTATATATCTATACATATATATACACATACGTACATATAATTTTTCCCCTCCAACTACTCTAATACGGATAAAGGTCTCATGAGTTACAAATATCATCTTTCCATGCAGGAATGTAAACAGTTCAACCTTAGTAAGTCTCTTATGATTTCTCTTTCCTGTATACCTCTTCATGTTCCACTTGAGTCTTGTATTTGAAAGTCAGATTTTCCATTCAGCTCTGGTCTTTTCATCAAGAATACTTGAAAGTCCTCTATTTCACTGAGTGACCATTTTTTCCCCTGAAGGATTATACTCAGTTTTGCTGGGTAGGTGATTCTTGGTTGTAATCCTATCTCCTTTACCCTCCAGAATATTATACTCCATGCCTTGCTGGCCCTTAATGGAGAAGCAGCTAAATCTTGTGTTATCCTGTTTGTGTTTCCACAGTACTTGAATTGTTTCTTTCTGGCTGCTTGTAATATTTTCTCCTTGACCTGGGAAATCTGGAATTTGGCTACAATATTCCTAGGAGTTTTCCTTTGGGGATCTCTTTCAGGAAGACATCAGTGGATTCTTTCAATTTCTATTTTGCCCTCTGGTTCTAAAATATCAGGGCAGTTTTCCTTGATAATTTCTTGAAAGATGATGTCTAGGCTCTTTTTTTGATCATGGCTTTCAGATAGTCCAATAATTTTTAAGTTCTCTCTCCTGGATCTATTTTCCAGGTCAGTTGTTTTTCCAGTGAGATATTTCACATTGTTTTCTAATTTTTAATTCTTTTGAATTTGTTTTACAGTGTCTTGATTTCTCATAAAGTCACTAGCTTCCAATTGCTCTATTCTAATTTTTAAGGCAGTATTTTCTTCAGTAAGCTTTTGGACTTCCTTTTCCATTTGGCCAGTTTTGCTTTTTAGGGCATTCTTGTCCTCATTGACTTTTTTGTACCTCTTTTGCCATTTGGGTTAGGCTATTTTTTAAGGTGTTATATTCTTCAGTATTTTTTTGGGTCTCCTTTAGCAAGCTGTTGACTTGTTTTTCATGATTTTCTTGCATCACTCTCAGTTTTTCCTCTACTTCTCTTACTTGCTTCTCAAAATCCCTTTTGAGCTCTTCCAAGGCCTGGGACTGATTCATATTTTTCTTGGAGACTTTGGATGTAGGAACTTTTGACTTTGTTGTCTTCTTCTGGTTCTATGTTTTGATCTTCTTTGTCACCAAAGTAAGATAATATAGTCTGACTCTTTTTGCACTGCTTACTCATGATTCCGGCCAGTTACTTGAGTTTTGTTACCTTTGTTAAGGTAAGAGTCTGCTTCCAATGTGGAGAATGTACTGTCCCAAGCTTCGGGGGTTTGTACAGCTGTTTTCAGAGCTACTTCTAGGGACCTGTAAATTTTCAGTTCTTCCAAGGTGGTATGATAAGGGGCGAGTTGTTTCCCCACCACCACCACAACAAGCTCCACCACACCAGCACTCCTCCTTGCCCCAGGACTGCCCCTCAGAACTGTGACCCAGATCCAAGCACGGGCAAAGCAAGAGATTCCTGCCTCACCACTGGCAAAGAGATCCCTGCAATCCCTCTCTGATCAGCCACTTGATTCCCCCTCAGTCTGTGGGCCAGAAGCTCAGGAGGCAGCCGTTGCCTCAAGTCACGCTCAGGATGTGGGGCTGAGACCTAGCTTCTCTCTCACTGCAGTCATAGACTTCCCACTGACCTTCCAAGTTGTCTTTGGCGTTCATGGGTTAAGAAGTCTGGAAACCGCCACAGCTGCCTGCTATTTAGTCCTCTGAGGCCTGCTCCAGGTTTGCTGTGGCCTGCCCGCTCACTCCGAACTGTGCTTCTCTCCCACCCGGCGCGATATGCCTTTCCAATTAACCATCCAGGTTGTCTTGGGCTGGTAATTTGTTTCACTCTGTCTTTTTGTGGGTTCTGTTGCTTTAGAATTTGTTCAGAGCCATTTTTTTACAGGTATTTGGAGGGGTTTGGGGGACAGCTCAAGCTAGTCACTGCTTTCACTCTGCCATCTTGGCTCTGCCCCCAAGAGGTTTCTTTACTAGAGAAATTTACTGCAAAGATTTTTTCCTAGTTACCTGTTTCCTTTGTAATTTTAACTGCATTGGTTTTGTTTGTGCAAAGCCTTTTAAAATTTTATGCATTCGCAATTGTTCATTTAATCTTTTATCATCCATTCTCTTCCTTGTTTGGCTGTGAACGCCTGCTTACCTAGTCCATATATCTGAAAGGTAATTTATATTTTCTATTCTATCTTGTTTATGATATCACCTTTTTTGTTTAAGTCAGTTATCCATTTGAAGTTTATTTTGGTATATAGTACTTAATTTCTGCCAGACCATTTTCCACTTTTCTTACCAGGTTTTTGTTGTTATTGTTATTATTGTTGAATAATGAGTCCTTGTCCCAGTAGCTGGGGTTTTTTTGGTCTGGGTACGTAATCTGCTCCATTGATTGACCTCTCTTTTTTTTTAACTAGTATCAAATAGTTTTGATGATTACTGTTTTGTAACATGGTTTATAGTTTACTTTATATCTCCTACTATTTGCCCTCTTTTTTTCCAGTTTTTTATTGCTTACTTCGAGATTTTTGTCCTTATGTTTCTGTATATGAATTTCATCATTATTTTTCTAACTCTATAAAATAATCTCCTTTAGTATGACACTAAATAAATAAATTAATTTAGGTATTATTGTCATTTCTATTACATTATCATGGCCTGCCCATTAGCAATTAATATTTATTCATTATTTATCTTTCTATTTCTCTAAAGAGTGTTTTGTAGTTATGTTCATGTAGTTCCTGCATATGTCTTGGAAAGTAGTCTCACAAATATTTTGCACAGCAGGTATTTTGAATGTAATTTTTCTGTCTTCTGCTAGATTTTGTTTGCA